CAAAGTGAATAGGAAACCGTTTAGATCCATGCACCTGCTGCTTCACAGCTACAACAGCGCAAACGGCAATAACAGCAAAACCCCCATGGCAACGACAACGACAGATGTGGGCACAACATGGGCTGAGAAATATAAAGGGGCATCTTATTGTATGGCTCAAGATATAGATTCCTTCTCTAGGCCAAAAAAACTACCTAGACCGAATCTTTATAGTAAAAGAAAACTATTAAGACCCAATGTTGTTCACCCTTAAAGAATTAGACTGGGTTGCATTAGGATAACTTTTAATTCTTTTTCTCCTCACTGTGTTACTTTACAATAAGACTACTTTTTTTTGCCTATAAATTACAATCAATTCGTTTTAGGATATAAAAAATTATTATTTGTCAGCATAAATATGGGAATAAGTAAATTAACAGACAAATGCATTAATGCTTATCATATTTGCTTTAAGAATAAAGCAGTTCGAAACTACGAATCATGTGCGGTGTTCGGTAACAATTGGTTTTACTATATTTACTTCCGCTTTCCTACGCATTTTCCTGACCATCGATTGCGGTATTTGCGATTCTCCCTTCGGCTCATTTGCCCCGACAGCCAGACTTTTGGGTTTCGCTTCCACTATTTCCTCGCACTAGTTGCAGGCATCGCGTGTCTCTAATGACCCGCGACAATGGACGCTTACGAAATTTTGGGACACCGCCTCCTTTTGCATATTGCACTGCAGCTAACATAAAATTGCCATCGCAGTACGGACAAAACAGCAAGCCACTTGCTGGCGCATTCGAAAGCCATTTTACAGTCGGGTATTGCAGTTTATTGGTTCGCAGTTCTAATTCGCAAAGGGGCAGCGCAAGTTGGTCACTCAAACGCAGACGTTGGTGTCTTTTCCAGTCAAGTGGCTGAAGTTTTCAGTTTGATTTGGAGAAAGTGTAATTACAAACGTTTAAGCTTATTTCCTTTGCTACTCTATTTGGTATTTAATTCCCAACTTAAAGTTCAGAAGGGTAAGGTATGCTCACTACAATTTAATATCAATAGATATCAGGCACATAAAAAGCTGTACAATAGACCACACTGCTTATGCGTAATTTCAAAAGGTATTTTTCTAAAATTTTAAGGTGGGAAAAGCGTTAGTTCAGCTCCCATTGCAGACTACACGCTTATTTTGGTTTCTCTTCAATCAATCAAAGAAGACTTAAAAATAATATATAAGAGGACCTTGCCTTTTTTCGATTTTCCCATTGCCTGTCAATAAATGATTTTCAAGTAGGATTCCCATCGTTTAGACAGCTTCAAACTGATTTCACTCCCCCTCCATTTGAGCCTTGAGTGGTTGTCAATGGGTTCGATGCCACTTGAATCATTTTGCGAGAAAGAAACGACAAAAAGGCAAAATCCTTTTCATGTTTTAACGATATTTAATTAACAAGCAATTTGTTTCGGCCCGTTGCTAATTAGGCGCGCCCCATCAAAGGCAGCAGAAGACAAAAGTCGTCGTCTGGCGGTGCATCGAAGCGAGCTCGGATTTCGTCCAGCGCCTTAACCCTTGACAACTTGAACGCCTTTCAGACACATTTCCATTTTCACACTCAACGTGCCGAAAACAATTAAAAAAAAAAAGAAAAAGGAGCGAAAAACGATTGCTTTGTCTTAGGGAATCCTTTTAACTTTTGGCAGCATGGGTCGTTAGGGAAGGTGAGACATGGCGACGCACCAATTTATGGGTGTGTATCCACCAAAAAGGTTCGCAATACCAGCGAACACTTTCTGGAGCCAACTCTAATTTGACAGAGTCGCTGTCCGAGAATTTTAAACACGCCCATTTCGAAGCGGCAAACTTGCGAACTGCACGCACCACAAGAGTCAGCTAACTATAACAACTTGCATTGCATGCCTCTTTGAGTCGAACAACAGCTATAACAACTAGCACAGCATTAGTGGCTGGGCGACTATGGTTCCCATTCAGCCTTGCACAGAGAAAAATATTCTTTCCATTTATGTCGAGTTCACTAAGGTTTTGCTCTCCTTAAATATTATAGCCCAATTACAAATTTGATACAAATTTTTATAAATTAAAGCACGTTTAATTTTATTTAGGGGACCTCTACCAGAAAAAATGACATTTTCCAAGTCCACACTACGTATGAGTTATAATTGCTTATAGAATATTGCTTGTATGGCCTGTAGTTGTTTCATAAGTTTTTTTTTCTTTTAGGTCAAATAAATATGAAAAGAATTACAACATAAAAATGTAATAAAATAGTGAATTTAACTTAATTTTCAATTTTTAACACTTCTTGAAGCTTTGACAATTTGGATGGTTATCTAACCCCCCGTTTCTAACAGTGCCTGACTGGAATCGTTGTCATGGTCACGTTCAGCATCTGGTGCAGCTTCCGGCTGGCGCTCCGCACGAACGGACGATGAATGGCGGCCATGTTCCGAGTTCCATGCTCCATGGTCCATGCTCCATGCTGCAACCGCAACAATTGTCAAACAAGCCAGAAAAATGGCGGCTTTCTGCTGCAACTCATCCTGCCACTTGAACTGCTCCTCCGAAAGCCGCCGGCAATTGTGATGCAGTGGTTATTATCCTCTAATAATTCTTTTTCTGGCCTGCTACTTGTGGCTGTCTAAATTATGACAATATTTCTATCTTGACGAATATAATTCAATTGTATGGGAATATTTCAAGAGATGGATACAGTTGTAGAGATAGTAAAAAAGCTAAAACCCTAGATCTTTTAGCCTATTTACATTTTACGGGACACAGTAAATTAACCTCACAAATAAGTGGCCCAGAATCATTTTCAATTAGCGCCCAGCTTGGAACATTATGGGATTTGTCCAATATATAATTTGGGGCAAACTTTGTTTTATGACTCCGTGGCTTTTTGAGCGCCCCGCAAATAAACATTTGCGTAATGCTCACAGTTTCTCCCATTGCCTGTTATGCAAAAGTTGTAAACGAAAACGACGGTGGAGAAACGTCCGGCGCAGTTTCTGGAAATCCTGTTTTATGCCCGACGCCCCCTCGGCCACAGCCCCTCGCCAAAGTTGCCGCAGTAATAAAGGAGATTACCTTGCACATAACATGTGAGTAGCCGGAGTCGAGCAGACACAGAAAGAGATTGGGCAAGGACTCATATGATTTCTGGCTCTGCCACAAAAGCCAAAGAAGCCTTTGAGGCGGTCGGACATGGTCTTCTGCCCGCAAAAGAAAGTTGAGCAGTTGAAGCGGCGGCTGCAGAGAAATTGCAAATGAAACTTTGGAATTTTTTTTGGATCTAAACGTTTAGCAGAATGGCGTATCAAAAAGGTTATACTTTAATACGCTATAATGAAATTATCATATTATGTTTAAGCAGTGATTGTCTAGCTAAAAGCTAAGCTTGAGGAAAATATATATAATATAATCATTTTGTTAATGCCTGAAAGAACAAAGTTGTTAACTAAGAATCCACACCTCTCTTTTCCATTTTGTGATTTTTGCAATTTAAATATTTATTTCATTTTATGCATTGGGAACCACATCAAACTTAATGTGCACCAAAAGTGCATTTTGTTTTCTCAGCCTGTTCTTAATCTCCTGACTACGTCCACCTGAGATATTCAAGCTTGTGATTTTGTCAACACCTTTCTCCTGTCTTACAATATTTAAGATATAGTCAAAGTGAAAATTGGAATGTGAAAGTTTTCGGACTCGGCTACCGTCATTTAATTTGGAAACAACAACAGCAAGCGGATCAACAACTAAGCCAGGGAGTTAGCCATTTCTTGGCCAAGACTTTTGCTTAGTTTTTAATTGCAATTAAAAAGTTATGTGCCAGTGAGAAATGGAGGGAGATCACACATAGCGACGACCATTTGGTTGTGTTCTACAGGCTGGACAGTTTGGCTTAAATCCCCAAGGTCCCAGCCATAATGACAAGAACCAACCAAGACCCATTGAGACGACAACCAAAGGAAAAGAAGAACACTGGATGTTGCAGCCGAGATGGGCGTGTGGAAAATCCCTTAGTGGCTCTGAGTGAACCGCAAAATGGCCATGCAACCAATTTTCTAGCATAAAACAAGCCAACTTCTTCGCCACTCAGTCCCTTGCATCGGCAAAATGCTCTGTGCAGACTTAATGATTTTTGGCTTAAAGTTTTACCAGTTAGCAGTATTTTTGCAAGTAGTTAACATTTTATGAGACAAACCGCCCCACACACCACCTTCTCGGACCGAATGCCCTGCGGGCTTTGTTTTATGCATTTTCCAGCTAGCCAACGAACAACTTGCCCTTCCATCTCGCTCGCTCGCCGGCGCTTTTCCTATCTTATGGGGGAAATCAACGGCAGAGCCAGACCAAGACCAAGACCAAGACGATGACGACACACAAAAACTAAGCGAAACTTGATAAAAACTTTTATCATAACAATTTGTGTTGTTTTGCTTAGCTGCTGCTCCTCGTGCTCCTACTGCCCAAATAGGAACAATGGTTCTATGTGTGTATTTGGTGTGCGTAATGAGAAAAGTGTAAGTGCATAGCTCGGGGCTGGAAGAAAGTCAGAGCCCGGCACTTTAAGCTCGCAATTTCGGATCAGACATCGAAACACTTTAAAAAGGAAAGCAATGTGGTGAAAGGTACAACGCTTTTTTATACTTTTGCACTTATTACTAACTAAAAATTAATTGAGCCAGTTTTCGTATTGTCATTGGAGAGACAATACATTGTAATTATTTTAATTTAAAAAAATCTAATAAATACCTGCCAGATTGAATTTTCTTTTTACATTGTTAATGTATATCTCAGACAAGAACCCATGACACAAACGAGCACTTAGCAAGGTTAACCACCACAATCGTGCCGAAGATCGCTTAGCAGAGACACGAACCCAATACCCATTAAACTGTAGGTTAAGCTTTCACCTATATTGCTGGCTCTAACGACGGCTCTAGATTCAAGTTCACAATAAAACCATCCAAACCTTGCCCTGGCTCGTTCAGTTGGCTGCTGGCACTCGACTTGGCTTTTTGGCTCACGTGATCGGGACACGCGGTAAAAGGCTCTTGCAAAAATTATAATAACGGGTTTCTCGGATGCGACCCTCTCGGCTCGGAAGCTTTACCAAAAATCGTGTGTGTGCAGATGACCAACAGTTGTAACCGTATAGTCACCAAAACAATAGCATTAAAACAAAAAACACTTTTAGCATTTGTAAACCATACAGCCTTGGATTGGGCAAAGAGTTTTGATCGAACAACTGCACAACTCCAGCTGGTTCAAAGCAGTTTTAGCCGCCTGGTACCTTACCAACATCAACAACAACAACCATTACACTAACTACCAACGACAACAACACCTGGAAATCAGCATAATCTCAATTGTCGCCTAGTGGATTGAACCAAAGTGAAGGTGTTTAAACTCAGAGTGTACGAAGAATACCTACAATAAAAAGCCGCTAAAAACAAAACCGGGTAAGACACCATTAATCAGTTCAAGGAAGCGGAGATCATGCAAATTATGCTGTGCGTGTCGTGTCTATAAAGCTTGGGAACAAGCTATAAATAAAAAAAAAGCAAATAAAATAACTTTTTGCCTTAACATTTTAAATGATTAAATTACAATATATGCAGCCCAAAGTTTCAACTATATTATTGTTTAATAAAGCTATGAACGCGTACCATAATTAATTCTGAAAATCTTTTTATAAACATACGATGTTAGAAATTAAAACAACTTAAATTTTCCGTTCCTCTTTATGTTAACAAATATGTGTGTTCCATCGCTTGAGCATATTAATTTTTTACATTTCGGTTTTTACAACTTTGTTTGACCTTTTCCATCGTTACCACTATGTCAATAATGACGTATACGCAACGTGGGTACCAAAATCATAACACTGAATGCATACATAGTTAATAGTGATTCCGTCTATCGATCGTTACCGTCCGTTTATTTTGGCAGTGAGCGAAACAAGTGACCATATAAAAACACGTTTTTGCATGCTAATGCTCTGACGGTAGTCAATTGAAGTGTTTGGAATCCAAACTGGGTATATAAATTTGTTTTATACCACCATTCATTCGAGTATGCGTGTAAAACTGTTTGCTTTGCAGACAAATAATAACAAACTAATAAAATTAAATATTGACTTGAATAGCGGATAGTTACAAAAACATTTGACTACCTTTTTCAGTGATTTTTTAGCTTTTTTAGTTATCTCAAAATCTTTTAAACCAGAAATATCTGCTTATAACTCACCGCGGCTCCCTGAAATTAATGACGTCACTGAAGCCATTCGCTATTTTTCATTCAAAGAAGTCAAATAAAAGCAACAGAAAAGAGTTGTTATGATGTGACTCATCAGGCGTGGAAATCACTTGACTGCGAGAACAGAATATTTTTAGAATATTTTTAGGCAGAATTCAAAACCAGTTTGATAATGAGCAATAATAAATTAAATGCAAATGTTTAATGGCGGATTTGGACGTCAATCAAAAATAATTATTTCGGGTCGTTTTAGAGAATTCTTTAAAGGGATATTGTTTTTGTTAAGAAGCTGATGGCTGCTAATGGTCCTTTAATTTATAGATAAATTTCTTCTGCTTAAATTCACTGTTTATATGTTTTCACAACTTTTTCACTGTTGCCAGCTACAACATTCCTATGAGTTATAAAAATGCTGTAATCTTTACCCTGTACATCGTTATCTTAAATAATATTGTAAGTCTTATATTTTTATACAATTTTTATAGTTACACAGTTTATCATGTAATTTGTATTGAAGAGCTATATTGAAACTAAAATAATCAAATGTTTTTCGCAGCAAATATAACATTTCATAGAGAATCAATTGGAATTGAATTGACCAGCCAAATTGCGATCATGAAAACGTGCCCCTCAGACAAATTAATAATTTGAATGAATGCAAACAAGGCGTGTCAATATTTCACCCTTCTGTCAACCGGTTCGCAAAGTTAACCGAACATATTCTCTGTGTGCATACGAAAGTAGACAAACAAATATCAAATATAAATTTATATATTACTAAGCAGCTAAGCAGTTTTATTACCCACACCAATTAACAGCTTGGCACCGTAAATCCAACAAGGTGTAAACTGTTTAAATGATTCAACAAATAAAAGTCTTTATCTTTAGTTCACTCAAATAACTTGAGCAGATTTCGAAGACTTATCAAATATTTATTTATTCAATGAAAGTAATTTATTACGCAAACTCACGGACTGGGTTATAGCTGCTAATACATAGATAACATAATTTAATGCACTTTTATTTGAGGAATGGTTAAACTGCTTTCTTATTTGAAAATTCATAAACGATTTGTAAACTTTCCAGGGAATTAGCTTTCCAAAAATTCCCTTATCAAGGCCAGACAAGTGCCATAATTTCAGTATCTAAAGGGCAATGCAGCCAACCTCTCTCTTTCTGTATCTATATCAGTCTAATCATCTAAGTTTATCTGGCTCGTGACAGTGACATCATTTCTTATCTCCAAGATCAGTTGGGTTACTCTGATTGTCAGTTATACAGCTTCAACAGAGAACATCCCAAGTTTACTAGTACTAATCCACAACTCGATGCTAACAGAGCGAATAATTCCAGCTGGATTTTCTCTGACAAAATGGAAACGTCGCTTAGAAACCACCAAAATCCGGGCTTCGTGGGCGACGATGGACGCAGTACGGCCAGCACAGTGGAGATTTCGGTACGTTAATGGTCGTGGACCACCTGAAACGGTTCCCACATTATCCATGAGCCAACTAATCACCGTTCCACAGGCCAACAATCCTGCCCTGCGCGATAATACCGATGACCAGGAGGCGGCCAAATTGCCCGAGGAGCGGGCCACCTGGGGCAAGGGCGTCGAGTTCCTGATGTCCTGCATCGCCATGTCCGTTGGCCTGGGCAACGTGTGGCGGTTTCCCTTCACCGCCCTGGACAATGGCGGCGGCGCCTTCCTCATCCCATATCTCATTGTCCTGTTCCTGATTGGCAAACCGATTTACTATCTGGAAATGGTAATTGGCCAGTTTTCCAGTCGCGGCTCGGTGAAGGTGTTCGATTTGTGCCCGGCCATGAAAGGTAAGCGTCCATGATTTCATTAAAGTCAGCTCGAAGTTGTCATACTCTTGTGGGGATCAAGTTGTTAAAAATTATCTGCTAAACTTTAAAAATACGCCCTAAATACAATTAATACAATTTTCAAAGAATTCCTTTGAGAAGTCCCAATCCTGACTATTCAAAATCCGGTCAAAATAATTATTTTACAATTCAATCTCAATATGAATTTTTAAAAATTCGATCAAGATAGTTTAAGAACTTTATTTTTAATGCTTAAATGTGGTATATATCTTGGTTAAACAAAATTAAAATTTGAGGAGTAAGTCTTAGTCGCTTTAAACTTAATGATAAAATATAAAAAAATACTTTAGCTGTATAACTTTAAACTTTAAATGCTTACAGGAAAGTGGAAAATTACTACTTTTAGTTATTTTCTCTTAAATTTAATGATGTTGACTATCGCTTATTTTTCCTTTTAAAATTTATATTCAATTAAAAACCCCTGAGCTCGGCTAAAAAAGGCAACTACCCCTTGCCATCAAGAGTATTGACAATAGCGAACTGCCGAAAGTACATCGTCATTTTGTTCATCAACCCGCCTGCCTGTCCCGAATACGCGACCGCATCCATAGGTGTTGGAGTCGGCCAGGTGATATCCATATCCATGGTGACCACCTACTATGTGGCCATAATGGGCATAACCCTGCGCTATCTGTACGATTCATTCCGCAATCCGCTGCCCTGGTCCGAGTGCCGCCCGGCGTGGCAGTCCTTCTGCGTGGCATCCAGTCTGGGCAACACCTCCCAGCTGGGCAGCACCAGTCCAGTACGGGTGGACATGGCTCAGCAGCAGCCCGTGGCATCCGCCGAGCTGTACTTTCTGTAAGTGGCTTGTTCTCGTTCTGTGGTCGTTGCGCCGAAACCTCCGTGATTGTGGGTTATTTGGCTGGTTGGTTGGTTGGTGGTATTGCAGCGGCATGTTTTTCGGTGTTATGTGTGGGTGATTGTGCACTGTGGGTAATCTTATCGCCGTTCGGAACTCGAAACCACAGCGGCGGACTCAAGTTTATGACCCGGCCGACAAAGGCGCAGAATGTCCGCTTTATTACGCGACTAATTGAATGAGTACCCGCATCCCTCTGCCGGCAATTATGGCGGCTATTGCCATCAATTCTGGAGCACTGGCCTGGACACTGCAATAGAGCGATGCGATTGCAACAGCCAAATAGAAAGTGATTCCATCCGCTGACAGTTCAATTGACTGCCATCAGGAACGTCAATATCTGCATCCAATTTCCGAGATTGAATCACTCAATCACAACATTGTGTTGCCTTGACCTAAACTTGAATTATGTGATATCACATGTGATAAGATATGCATCAAAGATTCTTGAATTTGAACTCACACATTCACACCATAATTTAAGGCAAATAAAATGTGATATTAACAAAAAAAAACACCTAGCAATTTAACATTTTTAATTAATATTTAATTTCCTTAAAAATTCCCTTATTAAAATGTCATTTGTGTATAATAACTACATAATATATATATCAGTTTTTTGAACAATTTATTTTTAAATGAAATGTTTTCTTTAAGAATTGTAAACACATACAACTTTGTAACTGCCTGCAACTCCTACAAAAAATTATTCCTTACACAAACCATATTATGGCTATAAGTAAACTATGTTTTAAGCTTTCCCTTCCAAATCATTAATAATCATACCCCAATTAATCGGAATGCTCTCATAATTCTTATCTATCTCATTTGAATTGTGTTTAAACTCTTTCTTTCCGTAATTCACTTGTAATCGATTCGAAAAAGGTGTTGGAGCCGGCCAGGCGTTCCAGGTGTTTATGCTCAGCACTTACTATGCCGCCCTGGTAGCGATAATTGGCCGATATTTCATTGAATCATTCCGCAACCCATTGCCCTGGGCCACATGCCAAGCGGTATGGGGAATCCACTGCATTAACTCAGCCCCCGATGCTGACAATTGGTCTCAAGTGGAAAGCGATGATCTGGGCCCGAAAAATTACACAGTGAAATCACAAAACGATCGGGTCATCACCAGTTCGGAATGGTACTTTGTGTAAGTGCTAAGTGTCTGGGACAATGTGGTTGTGGGAATTCACTAAATGACTGTATTATTGACTTATGTCAGCTACTAGTTTTGAATTTCAAAATTTCTTACTATTTTAAGAACAGTTAAAGCACAATTGTACATCTAAATGTTTATATCTTTTGTTTTGATTTTTTAAACAAATCTTCAATCTTAATATTTCTGAAATAGTTTCATAAAAACAGTCAATTGGTGAACTTAAAAGAAATTGTCATAGCCGTAAGCGAATGAAATTGGTGATGGTGTTTGGCTAACTGTTATTAAATGGTGTTGGCTTATTCTCTCTGATCGTTTCGCTAATTAAATATTATCTTTTCTCTCCAGTAAGGAAGTGCTGCACGAGACTCCGAATATCGAGGATGGAATTGGCCTGCCTAATTGGGAGCTGGTCATTGGACTTTTTGTCGCCTGGGCGTGTGTATTTTTAATTATTCGACGCGGAGTGAAGAGTTCGGGAAAGGCATCCTACTTTTTGGCCCTCTTTCCGTACGTCATCATGGGTGTCCTTTTGGTGAGAGCTGTGACACTGCCGGGATCTCTAGATGGCATTTACTACTTTATCAAGCCGCAATGGGGCAAGATCCTGGACCCAAAGGTCTGGTATGCAGCTGTAACTCAGTGCTTTTACTCGCTGTCTGTGTGTTTTGGCAACATCATCATGTACTCCTCGTTCAACAAGTTCGGTCACAATGTACATAGGGATGCAGCTATAGTGACGGGTTTGGATACCATGACCTCACTGCTGGCGGGATTCACGATTTTCGGTATCCTCGGACATCTGGCCCACGAAATCGGCACCGACGACATTGGTTCGGTGGTGAAAGGTGGCGCCGGACTGGCCTTCATCTCGTATCCCGATGCCATTGCCAAGTTTAAGCAGCTGCCACAGATCTTCTCGGTGCTGTTCTTCCTCATGCTCTTCGTTTTGGGCATAGGATCGAATATTGCCATGACCTCCTGCTCGGTGACCGCCATCCGGGATCGATTCCCCAACTTCAAGCAATGGCAGTGCTCGCTGCTCATAGCAGTCGTCAGCTTTTTGATCGGGCTGATGTACATAACGCCGGTAAGTTGCAGAACTTATATATATACATCCAACACAACTACTCCCTTTTCCATAACTTCCCTGTATTTGTTACTTGCCCAGGGCGGCCAATACATGTTGACTCTAGTGGACTTCTTTGGCGCCTCGATGATTGCTCTTGTGTTGGGAATCGCCGAACTCTACACCATTGGATGGATCTATGGAACCGACCGCTTGTGCAAAGACATAGAGTTCATGTTGGGTCGCAAAGTGGGTCTCTACTGGAGGCTCTGCTGGAGCGTCTTCACCCCACTGATCATGACTGTTATTTTAATCTATTTCTACGCGACCTACGAACCCCTGACCTACAACAACATCATCTACCCAAATTGGGCTTACAGTAGGTTTGATTATTGATTTAAAAGGCCCAATGACTAACCACGTTCTACTTTTAGGCATCGGATGGTGTATCACCGCCTTTGGCATACTTCAACTGCCCATTTGGATGATTGTGGCCATTATTCGAGATCCAGGCCAAAGTGTGGGTGAGAAAATCCGAGGCGCTTTCACGCCCAAGAAGAATTGGGGACCCATTGACCCACTGCTTCGAGAGCAGTACAACAAGGAAATCGAAAACGAATTGACCCCTAAACGTGGCCAGGGTATTTGGGCTGCCATCAAGCAAAACATATTTGGTTGATCCATTTTAAATGGGTAACATTTACAACAAACGCCCTTGTAAATAATCAGTTATAGCTTAAGTCAAATGAATTTAAAAGATCTTGTATAATCATTAAGTCTGCCAATAAACTTGATAAGTATGTGTCAAAATCTCACGTTCACTTATAAATTGAATTGAAAAAGTCTCTAGTAAGTGTTAGTGATTTTCTTTTTCATCTAATCTTATAAATTAAACTTAATTCACCTCGCTCAACACCTTGATTAACTCAGAGCACAAATCAAGCGTGCTTCGAGATATCACGAAAGGGAAGGATTAGGGTTTACCGGTCTCCGGCAACCACCATTAAATAACCTCGCTTCGCTCCACTTCTCTCCTTGACCCCACAAATTGACCGCAACATTTGACAATTTTCGGCATTGGCCAAATCCGCCGTAAAAATGGTGGCCCAGAAAGAGATAGGGCAAATCAAGAGAAATGTTATGTACTTTGTCTCCGTTACTGTTCCAAATCAAACAAAGGCAGCGGCAAGCCAAACACTGGAGGGTCGCTTTCACAAAAGCAGACGACGGTCAGTGTCATTGTCGGCATTTTACAGTGGGCAAAAATTCACAAAAAAAAAAAAAAAAAATTTAAAAGTACAGCAAGCCTTATTCGTGATTTAAAAGCAACTGGCTTAGAATTTACATACTTAAATCAAATAGTTTATATTTTGCATACAAGCCAAATTAAAAAAATTACATTTTTGTGATTGATTATTTTTTTTGAGTATTTTTTTTTTTTAATAATGACAGCCCATTACAACCATTAATGTGTGTTTTATTATCTTCTTTTATTATTATTATAATACTTTGAAAACATTGTCTAGTTGTTATTAAATAATAATAATTGGATTTAATAACTATAATCTTCAGAAATCTTCTCCACAGTGCAATATGGCTATTGGTAAAAAAAAGAGTGGGTGGGCAGGTCGACGACGAGTCATCTTAGAGATAATTGCTTTGATAAGGCTTCGCGTTCGGTCGAAAAGAAGAGCTCGGGGCTGTCCGAAAACATTTTTTATAAATGTCGCCAAATATTTACATGTCGCGCAGCATTGTGAAGCGGCCCAGCAGATTTTTTTCGCCCAGGCTTTTCCTTTCGCCTATTTCCCCCAAGTTTCAGCTCGGTCCGCATTTGGCCTGCGGCTTGACTTTGCCAACTGGCCGAAGTGGGCGAAGTGGCTTCCTGGCCGGCGATTCCGGATGACGGTGGCCACCGTCGCGTTGCTGGAAACCGCATAAAAGTCATTGTCACAGCAAATGGATTAATTTTCGCGGCACGCTGACATATACACCTCTCTTTCGCGCTCACTCTATGGTAAAGCACCCACTCAGTCCGTTTGTCTTTCCGACTCTCTTTTGGTACCTCTTAATGTTAGGGTTATATAGAATTATTATATTTAGAGTATATTTAGAAGCTTTCCATTATACAAAATATCGCAATCAAATCAATTTTCTTTTTTTTTTAGAATTTCATATAAATTAAATACATTTAGCATCAGCTTGATGTAATATTATGTAACACTTGGTCAAGGCTATTTACGTTTTAAAGAATATAATATTTATTGTAAAATTTTATTATATATAATTTGTTTTGTTATTATATGCTCTGGGAAACATTATATATTTATAAGTCAAAGCCTTGACGTTTCTATATTTATTTGAAACATACAATTTTGTTGGAACGAATATATATATATAATCATTTATAAATATTTTTCAGAAGTGTTAAGGCCAAAAAGATTTAAAAACGTTATTTTCCTTATATATAACATATATTTTAAAATTATAAATTATATAAGGTATTATTTAGTCGAAAAATATACCTATTTCGCTCTTACTTGTTTTTTTTTTGTGTAAAGAAATTAAAAAGCCTGGTCTGTGGTCGAGCAGGTCGAGGGCGCGGGCGGGGAGCGGCAGAGGGGGTGTGGCATTTACCGCAACAATAATTACGTTTTGGGTGGGTTTTTCAGATCCTGATGCTGGCACGGAAGTGTATAATGTTGCTAAGTAGTTGCGGTTATTTGTTGTTGTTGTTGGGTGACATTTTTCTGTTCCCTCTTCTCCTTAATGTTGTTGCTGTTTTTGTTTCGTGTTCCGTAATTATCCTGAGAGGCAACAGGAGGTTTATTTCACGCTATAAATGCTTCATAATTAAGTTTTGTGGTTCTTCAAAACAAAAAAAGAACTCATTTTGTTGCTCTTTTGCTTTGTATGCAAAGCACTTTTTCGAGAAACACAACTGATTACTAAAAAGCTGTGACATAAAAAATGAATAAAAAAGATAAAGGATTCGATTTAGATTGAAGTATCATTAGCTGACAACTGGAAAACCTTACACTTTATTTTTCTTTAAAATTTTAGAGGTAATTCTTTACCTTTAACCTATTAATTTTTCTTCGCTTTCATCTTCAGTTGTATAACGATAGAAATGGAAACAGGTAAAGATATGGGTTTCAAAGTTGGTATAGTAGTATCTTGGACTTTTGTGTTGAACGAAGTAGTAACTACTGGAGTTGTTCGTTTCCAGCTTGTCTTATCAGTTTTCTTTTTTCTATACTTTTTAGTTCTTCGATTTCTTTCAAGCGATTGCACAATATTATATATATCCTCAAAAAGCTTGATAGCATTGTTGCTGTTATTTTTCGAGTGGCCGTAGCAGCTCCGCTCGCAATCCGTTCGGTAATCAAAGCCATACCAACAAGTTATTTTCTGGGAGCACACGGATCTCTTAGGATTGAAAAACCATTTTAGTTTTCGCGTTTGGCAATCACTGTTGAAGCGTTTTATGCACATGTCTAAAAAACAGGCAGTTAACAACGCTGTTTTTTTTTTTTCATTTGTCAGCCTTGTTCTTAAATTACAAATTTCAAATGGGAACTGATTCAATTCATTTGCCCACTGTATTTTTGGCCAAAACAGAGCTTTGTTTAATTTATTTAAACTAATTATGGACGGCAGAAACGTTTTTTTTATATCTCAGAGGTTATCATAGCCAATACATATAATAAAGGTAAGACTCCTCTAGGTTTCAGGTAATAAAGCAAGTTTTAAAATGATTTTTAGCTTAAAATAAGTTAAAAACAAAGCGTTATTTTTATAATTTATTTGACTCACTTGGACCTACATTGTGTCCTTCCACCAAAATTAATAAAGAGAAAAGGCTCAAGACCAAAAGCATTATGTGTCAGGCTTCAAATGAAATCGAAAAGTGTAAAGCTTTGGCTCGTCCAAATGCAATTAGCGAAGCCAATTCTCCACCAAGTCGAAACGATTTCGAATATTTTTCTTCGCAACACTAGCACTAGCTTGCATTCTTGCGTTTGGAAAGCTAACATGTTATCAATCAGTTGTGCCAAAAGCTTCGGGAAACTGTATACAAACTGTATACTCCTAAATCCCGAGCCGAAACTTATTCCCAATTAGGCAAAAAACTTGTATATTACATAGCTATTAGAAGGTTTTTTGAAAAAAAATCAACTATATCAATGTTCGAATTGGCCAAATAATTGTGTAATACAACTTCTTGAAATCGATTTGCTGAGATAAGGTCAGAGAGTCTTTCAAACTTATATGAACTTAGAAAAAACAACTGATTAACTACAAAACATTGTGACACGCAAAAATAAGAGAAAATGATAAAATAAAATACCGTATGTTAACAAAGCTTGTATATAATTTAAAAAAATAAAGAAAATAAATTATTGATCGTTTCGTATTTATTTTTTTTTTTAAATATTCATTTTAATTAACGTTTTCCAAGAATGTCAAGTATACGTCCGATTCCTTTTCTTCTTGGGGGCTCAAAGCCACTATTATATTCCGGATCTTCCTCCGAGTTTTGTGTACTAGTCGTGGTAGTTATAGGTGCTGGTGAATTTAGTTGCGGTGTACTTGTCGTGCCCGGTGTTAATGGTAATGGTTCCAGTGTCTTATCCACAGCAGTATTTGCATTTTGTGTAACGATCGCAATGATAACCGTTGTAGATGAGGGTTTCAAAGTTGGCTTAGTAGTATCTTCGACTTTTGGAGTCAACGATGTAGTGGGCCTAGTAGTATCTTGGACTTTTGTAGTCAACGAAGTAGTTGGCTTAGTAGTATCTGGTAGTTTTGCAGTCGACGATGTAGTTGGCTTAGTAGTATCTTGGACTTTTGTAGTAGTAGTAGTAGTAGTAGTAGTAGTAGTAGTAGTAGTAGGAGTAGTAGTAGTAGTAGTAGTAGTAGTAGTAGTAGTAGTAGTAGTAGTAGTAGTAGTAGTAGTAGTAGTAGTAGTAGTAGTAGTAGTAGTAGTAGTAGTAGTAGTAGTTGTTCGTTTCCGGCTTTTCTTATCAGTCTTCGTTGTTCTATGCTTTTTAGTTCTACGATTATTCTGATACGAATCCACAATATCAAAAATGTCCTCAAGTAGCTTTAAGGAGTCGTTGCTTCTCTTTTTCTTAGGGTCATGGCACATGCGTTCGCAATCCGTTCGGTAATCAAAGCCATTCCGACAAGTGAGTCTCCGGGTGCATATGAAGTTCTTTGGATTATAAAACCATTTTATTTTTCGTATTGGGCAATCACTGTTGAATCGTTTCACGCATACGTCTGAAAATAAACGATTTTTAATAAATAAATAAACAAAAATCTGTCAGTCTTGTTTTCAAAGTTCAAATTGTAAACGGTAATTCATTTCATGGTTTTATTAAGTATTTCTGCCTCTTTGTTTAACTGAGGTCGAATTTAAACTAATTATGGTAAAGGTCGGAATTTTCTTTTTTGTATGTACAATGTAAATTGTAAAAATTTCATCTTAAAGGAACAAGGCTATATTTTTTATAATTCAGTTAACTCACTTGCGCAATCACATTTTCCTTTCATCAACATTAATATAGAGAAAACGCCGTAGACTAGGAGCATGACATCTACGATAAATGCTTCATTAAGATGTGCCAGTTCTTAACTGAAATCGAAATGTGTTAAAATTTGGCCCATCCAAATGCAATTAGACAAGCCAATACTGCACCAAGTCGAACCGATTTTCAAATATCTTTCATTGCCTCAGTAGACCTAGCTCGTTTCGGTGCGTTTCGAAAGCTGACATGTTGCCAATCAGTCCAAGTGCCAAAAAC